CACAATAGAGATAAGGAAAATTCATATGGTGAACTGGCCCACCATATGCCAACCCAAAAATATGGTGGATTAGGCATTCATAATGCTCTTAATAAAAATCTATGCACTCTAGCTAGTTTAAGCTAGAGACTTCTCACAAATGCACTAACTTCATGGGCAAAGCTTATCATCTCTTACTATTGCAATAGCCCCTCTACGAATAGATCTTCCTACATTTGGAATATCATTTGCAAAGGATGGGATATCTGCTCCAAGGGCATCATATGGTCCCCCACCTACAATCCAATCTTAACCTGTGGGAGACCAATTGGATACCAAATTTTGGTAACCTAAGGAACCATGCAATAGGCCCCCCTTCGTCCAATGATATTTTCACAAAAATCAGAGATATCTACGATGGTTCCAATTGGAATTTAGACGACTTTACCCTCTCTCTTCCTTCGGACTTATTAACTAATATCACTAAAATAAGGGTCTGTCTTAAGGGTCCCTCTATTGACTTACCTATTTGGTCTCTCACCACTAAGGGGTTTTTACTACTAAATCTTGCTATACGCTTCTGGAACCTCCTAATAATACTAACTTAGACTTTGAATGGATTTGAAAATTGGATTGTCCCAACAAAATCAGATTTTTCCTATGGCAGTGCCTCCATAATCGAATCCCTTGCAGACAATACCTTTCACAGATTGGGCTAAACATTGACCCTAACTGTCCCATCTGTAAAAGCCCTTATGAGGAATCAATCGAGCATATTTTCCTAGAATTCAAAGCTGTCAAGAAACTTTGGACCGACCTTCAATGGAAGCACCTTCCTAACCAAAATGGGAAGCATTGTCTTATCCAAATAAAGGACTTAAACTTTCCTCTTAATAATGATTTCCTAAAATGGAACACCTACTTTCCCTTCATCGTCTGGCATATTTGGGTTAATAGAAACAATAATAATCATAATAACACTTCCAACCAAATAAGTAGTTATCAAATCATGCAAAGGGCAATAGAATTTAAATTGCTCACGGAAAAAATCTCTATTCACCCTCCCAAATTACTACTAAAAATCAATTGGTTCAAACCCCCTAGGGGTTGGTTCAAACTGAATGTGGATGCCAATTTTCATAGCTATAACCAAAACTGTGGTTTAGGTGGTGTTTTCAAAAACGCTAATGGTAGCTGGGTAGTTGGTTTAACAAAGCTAACCCATGCAAATGGCTCACTAGCAGCAGAACTGAAAGCTCTACGAGAAGGTCTAAGGACAACAAAGGAGTGGAATCTCTTCCCACTTGAAATAGAGACAGACTGCTCAGAGGTAATCCAGGCCTTACAATTTGGTAATAAATTATTTAATAAAGCTGTTAATGATTGCAGGTCCTTAATGCACCAGCAGAGGGTTACTCTCCAGAACACTTTTAGGCAGGGGAATAGGATTGCTCACCAACTGGCAAAAAGGAGCCTAGGAAGGGATAATCAAGTTTTTGGAGCAGTAGGAAGAAGTAATACTCAGAAGACCAGGAAAAAAGTTTTTGTTGAACCACCTATTGATGTAATAGATTTTGTGGAAAGTGACGGACTAGAAATTGCTACCAATGCAAAATTGCTATGCAATGAAGCTTGCCAACTGTTAGCAAGCTTAGGGAATCAATGTGTCCTTCCTGATGCATCTTATGCTAATCATGTACTAGACGTTCCTTAATTGTTAATATATTTATTTCCTGTTTGCTCAAAAAGACATACTACCAAATAAGTTCTACTATTGAAAATCATTAGTAAAATATTTTATGAATTTGTTCCTGTAGAGATTAAATAATCCACTACTTTAAAGTGAATGATAAAGTATTATTTGGGAAATGGGGACTTAGAAACAATAAAATTTGTATTATAACAAGTTATATTACTATAGAGTCTAGATGATTTTAAGTAAAAAGTAAGCTACGAATTTGAGTCTTGTTCGTATGAATTACTTTGGAGAAGGAAGATCGAGTCAGGAAACTAATATATTAATAAGCAAGATTTTTATTGAATCATATACTACACAGGTCAAATCTAGGGACAATGATAACTAAGACCATTGATAATAGAGACGTTGTAAAAAAAGGTTATCCAAGCAAAAAACTAATAAATAAATAAATAAAAAGAAATAAAAAAGATTTCAATGGGTTATTTTGTACGTGCTAGGATCGAAATAATCAAGTATCATGTAGTTTCGGTCATAATCGTATGGGCTATGTATTTTATTGATAAAATTATGATATGATACTCCGAATATCATTCTTGGCAAATAAACAAAATATTTTCTATGTGCTATGTAATTTATTGATAAAATTATGATATGACACTCAGACTATCATTCTTGGTAAATAAACAAAGTATTTTCATCCCTAAGTTCCTCTACTAAGTGAAGCTAATTCTAATACCCCTACTCTGACGAAATTAATAGTTAGGATATGTAATAGCATGGTTATTCAAGAATTAAAATGATTGGTGTAACGATAATAGTACTTTGAACGGCCTAACCAATTGACAATCGCCATTGGTAATAAGTGTTTATTTGTACATCATGCCCCTTTATAATTTTAAAATTAAGAAAATGTCCTTTTTAGATTTTTTATATAAAAGACAGATCTCTTACGCGTAAAAGTAAACCTCCCGTTTGTAAAAATTATAGATAGGACCATAAAACTATAAAAACAAATTTGTAACGAGCCACCAGAAGATGTTTGATGATTCATGTAGTATTATTTAAAATAAAATCAAATTGTTGAAAATATTCTATGTTTTTTTTTTTGGAG